ATATGCTTGCGTGTGTCGCCAGGGAGTACCACACTTTGCTTCTCATCTTCATCATGTTGACTTTGGCAAGTGATCTCAAAGCTTTCAGCATTTCCCTTATACTGGCTCCAAGATAACAATATGGCGGTGCTGTCAGGCTGGGCTGTGATGATAGGCACATCAAGTGCTGTTATTGGGCAAAGAAAAACAATCGATGTAATTGATGTGTAATTAAAACCTAACTCGTAAGATACACGATAGTCCGTCGGTGCGTCCCTCAACTTAACATACATATATATATATGGACAGGTCTTTTTTTTTTCAGAATAAATTAATAAATTAGCGAAAATAAAAATGGAATATATACATTTATGCTGTATACTTGTACTCTCTAAATCATGTTGGAATAAGTAATACACGACATAACCGGACCATACCTGTTGTAAATGCGAACGTGTAAATCTCACTTTCTTTTTTGTGGCGTACGCAGCATAGTGCAATGGTATAGTTAGTTCCAGGGATAAGATTAGCCAATTCATAGCTCGATTCAGTGCCACGTATCATTTTAGTCACTGGTTCACCTTTGTCTGTTTTGTATTCAAGGCGGTAGTGATCCACAACACCCGCAGGAGGTTTCCAACTAATGGGGGCCGATTCCGCAGCTGGACTACCCACAAGTTTCACAGCGTCTGGTTGGCCTGGGCCTATTGGAGTTGACATTTATATACAAATATCGGACAGGGCATTTGATTCCATGTTAACAGTGAACAGCGTATACAATGGCGTTACAAAATACTTAAATGTGTCTGCATGGTTACGAAATTTCGGGTGTATTACGTTCAAGTTATGATTTTTCCTAAATACGGTAAACAACGTTAAGGATTTCACCTCACATAAGTATGCCCAGAATGGTTTTATTATTATTATTATCATTATTATTGTATAAACCTGCATGGAAGGGGGAAGTGCATTAGCATGTGATAATTGAATACCTACGCTTTATTTCAAAGATTCAAAGCAATATCAAAACTCAGGCGCTCATAAGCACAAACGAAGCTGTGTTATCAACTCCAGATTACTTACGTGTGGTGAATTCTGTTGTGGTTCTGGCTTCAGAGTCAGCACCGTCAATCACAGTTGATACTGCCACCATGTACTCCGTCCCAGGTTCCAAGTCTGTCAGTTTCAAGTTGGGTACATCTGTGCCTTTCGTTAACCACTTCGCCCATGGTGATTTCTCTTTATAATCAACGCGATATTCTACAGTCCCTGCAGTACCGTTATCTGCCCACGACAAATTAGCTGTTGTTTCTGATATACAGCCTACATGTATTTTTCCTGTTTTAATGGGATCTGAAAGCAGCGCAATTAAAGCAGACAATTTACAAAGTTTTGAGTCAAATTATTTACTAGTGTATTTAACGAATAAACTGAAACTGTGCCCAGACAATCAATGCTGATGAAATTTGCATGTCTAAGTATGAAGAATAAATCGCAAAGATGAAAGGATGTTTAAAGGAAAATAAAAAATGTATAACGGGACATTATCAACTTGAATATTTATTTTTTTAAAAAACACAATTGGGACCTAACTGCATGTGATGCTGTAACATACCTGTTGTTGCCGACCAATGTTTCTTGTCGCTGGTTTTATCTCCGCACACCAGTTCAACATAACCTTTAATGTGTGTGTTGGGATTCAGTGGAGATATCAGCAACTGCTGGGGTTCTGTCGTAGATACATGTTTTGTTATTTTCTGAGTAGAGTCAGGCAGACAATATGTGACTACTGCATCGGTTACATCTGGTTCATCTTCCTTTCTACTCCATTTGAGTCTGATTGAATCTGGTCCAGTATCAATACTGCCCATCGACGGCTGTGAGGGTACTAAGTAAAAGAAATAGGAAGCGAGAAATGATTATTTGATACGGAATTTAATGTCTCGTACAAGAGTGTATGTTTTCTTGGTTTATACCAAAATTGCAACGCTGGCTGATGTTATAAATTTTATCGTTTTTTTTATAAAACCTAAATTAGACAATTAAGTCAGAATTAAAATGGACATAAGCATATATGTGCAATTACAAAAAATGATGAGTATTAAAAAGCTATTGGAATAAGCTGATACAGGCTAAACATTATATTATGCTACCAGGTATAAATCTGTTCTGATTCCGACACACACACACACACACACACACACACAATTTTCCCACCATGCGTTACCTGTATAGAACGCTTTCCTCTCGCCACCTTGGCTTTCGCGTCCTTCTACACTGGACTTAACTTCCATGACGTACTTGGTCCCTTGTTTAAGGTCAATAATTGATCCCGTGACAGCAGGATATTGAACCGTGGTCTTTCGCTTTGCTGATGGGTTGTTAGCAGGCCAACATACGATATCATAACTCTTAACATTTCCATGTACAGGATGCCTCCAGGACACGTCGGCATAGGTGGAAAACCCTTGCACTTGTACATCAGTTACGCCAGCTGGTTCTGAAAAAATGATAACGTGTGAATTCTACTCGTTGTGAGTCCTGTGTAAGTGCACAGTAAGCAACATGTTTTACTTTCCCCCCATAAAATAGTAAAAACAATGTCATACCTACCGAAAAAGTAGATTCAACGGGTTGGTTATATAAATACGCATTTATATTTAGAATAATTTCTTTTAAGAATTAAAATTAATAATATCATTCAGAGATGTTTGAATCGTAACAACTTTAGGTTTAGTGGTTGTTTAACTAATCTTTATAATTGGAACTGAGATAGCCTGGGCCATGTGCATGCATAACCTGCGACCATGTATAGACCGATTTACCACAAAGCCTATTTTGCCTTTGTTTAATCATTAAATGCCCACTCATAAACAAATAGCCGGTTATGATAAAACGAGCAAGTCAAATTTAATATCACTACCAAAACACTGGAAAATATATAACAATAATTTATTTACCAGTACTAAACGTTGTTTCCTGGAAATCGTCACTCTCCGTTCCTTGAAAGACAGCCTTCACTTGAACCTTGTACTGTGACCCTGGTGTTAATGACTTAATTGTTGTCTGCAAAGTTTTAGATGACACTGTCGGGAAGGGTTCAGATCTGCGAGCGTTAATTTCCCAATAACTGATTTCAAAAGAGATGCCGCTGTTCTCCAGTTTACCTGGATAGGTCCAAGATATGTTTGCTGTATTCGATCCGGGGTTAACAGAAATACCCGTGGGGGGCAAAGGAGCTGTAAAAATAACCAACAGGTTACGATAACAACAAAGTAACGGTATTGCACCACAAATACACATTGTTCAACGAAAGCAACAAATTATATGAGGGCAAGCTATCAGTCTAAAAACAAAAAACACATCACTTTCTATTCTTCTAAATTGTTTGCGCAATTCTTGCTCTACAACGAATCAATGTCTTTAATAGCTGTCAGTAAAATAAAATTAACATTTAATTGATTTTATCAAGTATTTATCTTTCATGCTCGTACGCTGCAATACTTTGCTGTGTGTGTGAAGATTATACCCGGTACCTGTATTGAAAGTGTGGGACGTAACGGCACTTTTCCTTGTTCCTTTTACCGTCATGACGGATACACGGTAACAAGTAGCAGGACGGAGATAATTGTACTTTGCGCTGAGTTCTTTTTTTATTTTCTCGTGTGTTTCGTTTGTTGTCAAGTTAGTTAGAGTGACAACCATGTGGTCGCACTGGCCATTCGGCTCGTCCCATTCGATGTTGGCCGTTGAAGTAGATACTGACGTGTGAAAAACTGTTGCCGGCGGGAGAAGACCTGCAAAATAAAACAATTAAACTAATTAAATATTATCAATCTGATGTAATGCTGTTCGATTGGTCTGTAATCGACTGTACAATAATGTACAAATTCACTTTTAATACATTTACTATTAAAATACTTCCCTGTAATTTGTATTTCAAAATGATCTGCCGTTTTGTCACCGGTGTCACGTTGTGACAGTTTACGCAGTTTGTCTCCCAGAGCCGTCTCACTGATGTGGTAGTTGGAATCTTAGACCATTTTCCTTGCTGAGGTTGGGCTTTTCAATTGTTCAACCCTGTCAAGTCTGGCCTCTTTTACAGAACTTATATTCCTCTATGTCGAGGATCATACTGTCTTTCATATTAAAATAGTTTTGTAGATGGGTATATACGGCAGAGTCATAAGTGTCACCAGAGTAAAGGACTTACCAGTAGTAATATCAAACGGACCCCTTGTGCTTGATTTGTCTCCACAGTGAAAAGTGACTTCTGCTCTATATGAAGTGCCTGGTCGGAGATTATGTATGCTGGCTGTAGTCGCAGATACGTCAGTAATATCAGGTAATTGTGTAGTTTTTGTATTATCTCCTTTAACCCAATATTTTATCGTGATTTTGTCCACACCTGGTTCATCTACCTTGACCCATTTCACTGTCAAGTCAGTTGCCGATGCTTCGTAACTAACGGTTGGTTTTGATGGTACTAAAATCAAGGTTCAACATGCACTGACATTATATACAATTTGATGGATACTACTACTCACAATGTGAAACGTACATATCATGAGACCCACTGTACAACTTAGACGGTTTCGTGATTATAGGTCTAGTGGCGACATTTTAGCATTTGTGTATTAGATGATTCGTTCCAGGACTAAAGTACTTATGACACGTTAAATCCAGTTTCATTTTCACATCGCATTAATGAAACGTCGGCTTTTAACAGGTTTGTGAAATGTTAAAAACATCTGGGCTCAATTTAACAGACTATTGTATTGCGTTTTTATATTTACAAAATCCATGATAAGTTGTTTACCTGTATGTATTGTCATCTTTACTGGTTCACTCCTGGCTTCTAAGTTCGTACTGAAATAACTGATACTATTCACCTCCACATCATAAACACGCCCGGGTTGCCATTCCAACAGGACGAGCCTCTCGGTTGAAATTTTATTGTCGCTAGTGATTTTTTTCGTTTGGTACATCTGATCCTCGCGGTATTTATAACGCACGTCATAGCAATCCTTCCGGCCCTTACATGTGCAATGTAAGGCGAGGTATTTGCTGGATAGATCACATTCAATGCTCGGTCTTTCAGGTTCTAGAAAACAACAGACAACAAATGGTCCTAATATATTAATCTTTATAATGAAATTACTTTAAAAGATTGAACGTGGTACACTGTACACTATGTTTGTTTATGTGTTCATAACAATGTACTGAATGTGTACTGACTGATTATATGTGCACGTTTATTGCTCTCTCGCTACATTAAGTGTGACATGTCAAGCGGTGCACTGTTTAACTTATTATGTTGAACGAAAAAAGGTTTGGATTTTCTTATTTGTACAGTCCTTGGTGTACAATAATCAAGAGTTAACAACAATATGTAGTTATGGTTGAGCAAAATAAACACACCTGTTGCAACTATGATGGTATCACCGGCTTCGTCTTTGGCACCATCTACCTCAGCGCATACTCTAAAGTGATACTTAAATCCGGGTTGAAGGTTTTCCAAAGTTTTAAAACAGCCTTCTACCATAACACTATTTTCGCCTCTGGACCGAAATCGTGCCAAAAAGCCGTTGTCTTCATCTTCCGATTGATGATATAATGTGTAGCGTTTTACTTTTCCATCAGGGGGAGTCCAATAGAGGGTGATTGAGCTTGTAGTCACCACTGTTTTTTCTTTTACAAATTCAGGGTTACCAGGAGCTTAAATATACAAGAGTAAATGATTCATGTCAATGTCGTGAATGCAGAATATACAATAGTATGTTTGTATGTGCGATTTAGCTTCTTAATGTATTACTATAAGACGTTTGAAATCTCATTCCATCTAAGCGGATTGCCCACATTTCATGAACATTTAAATGATGTCAGATAAGAACAGACGCTTTCTGTTAAACTCTTCGTGTAATACCAACCTATCGTAACCGTTTTTGAAACCTCCTTGCTTGCCTTTTCGTTGCTGACTGCCACGACACTGAAAACATAGGTTTCTCCCTTTACAATAGGGTGGAGGTTATATTTACAGGTCATTGTGTGGAATGTTGTAATATCTTGCCCCATTGTAACTGTAACATCATATTTGGCAGTATCGCCGTCTGGCTTATCCCAAGTAAGTGTGTTCGTTGACGTATCCCACTTTAGACCGTGGACTGGTTCTGGATCTATGGAGAAAGGAGAAATATTAATGGTATAGGGTAAGGGTACAAATAGGAGAGGAGTTAAAGGGATAATAACTCTTCGTATGAGATCTATATTTCACAATAAAAACATTGTGAATAACTCATAGAAATATAATACATTCTGTTTTACCACAAAAACGGCAGTTATAGCTATTATTCTGATATCTGAGCTTTTCTTTAGACCACGTGACCTCCACTGATAGCTATACTCTGTAAAAATCTCTTAAGAGATTTTAACAAAAAACCAAACATTTTAGAAAAAAAACAGGGACTAACTTTGGATGTAAAAATGGATTCATTAACCATTGGTAAGTATGGGAAAATTGTTGTTTACTCTAGGAAAATTAATTTTTTGGACGAATCGAAGAGTTATTATCCCTTTAAGCGTCTGTGATTGTAAAAATCCACAGTTAACACATACCTGCCCGTTGGGGTACACATACAAACTTGGTCAATGTTTTGCCCACCCCCCGGAATCCCATGTGTTTTTTGCATAAGGTCCGGTCCCACTGGCGTTAAGGCTGGATTTTGGATGAATTGCGCACAAAATTGGTTGATATTTGCTAAACATCCGAAATATTCGTGATGCATGCTTGTATCATTCGGCTAGCATCCACACACGCCCGTTATTATCAACAGGGGCACTTTTTCCTTTCCCGAGATTTTTGAGCTGCTCAAAATTTTGGTCGCGGATGACATGCGCAATACATCCATATTAGATCCCAAGAAAATTTGTATCCTCAATCCATCCCCAATTCATCCTCTCATCAGTGTTACAATTGACTACGCCACATCTGTAATTTATTTTGAACATTGCTTTTTAATCCAAATACCATATGTAACATGACTCACTGTGCAGATAATGCAAAATGTCGGTGAAAATATCCTTATTTCATATCAAGCAATAGTAAACTTTTAAGGCAGTAAACGCTTTTTAAATAGCTTTCACACAAGGGCAGTAGCGCATTTTAATTTGATCTGAAAACCAGATTCTTAATTTATCCATTGTATTACATTATTTTACCAACCTTGCTCCAAAAAGGAACATGATTTCCGATTTTTATAATTTGCTAAAAAAACTGTTATCTTCATATATCATGTATTCAAATTAAGAAAAATGTGTGCCCCCTGTGATTTTCACAGAGGTAAAATAAAATAAACATAAATTTAAAATACGTGTGTATACAGAACAAATTATGAGAGAGGGGATTAAATATAACAGTTGGAGGAAAGCAAATATCAAATCTGCGTTTTGCAGATTTGATTTTACCTCTGTCAGTAGAAAAAACAGTTAAAAAACTTGTGTACCTGTTGCTCCTATGCAAAACACCTCTCTGCTTGTAGAGTGACCGACCGCATCTTTCCATCCAGTTACTTGAAGAGAAAATTCGTACTTTCTGCCAGGGACTAAACCAGTTACTTTCAGACTTTCAGCTGTAACCTCCGTATCATTTTGGAATTCTTCAGAAGTTTCAAAACTGCGATATCTCACGGTATATGACCAAGAACCTGTCGTGATAGATGGCGGTGCATCCCACTGCAAATGTATTGAGCGTGCGGTTGTTTCACTTTGTATCTCTCGGAAGTTTTCAGGGCATGGAAGATCTAGAATTAAAATAAATGTCAACAATTCTGCTTAATATAATGTTTAATATATATATATATATATATATATATATATATATAAAGTAACAAATGTGTTTATAGTTTATTGTTTTGACTTAGTTATTGCAGAGAAACATTTTAAATACATCATACAATACCATAATATAAACATGGTTTTAGTTCATATAATTCAGGTTAAATAATGTAAGCCAATCACCATTGTAGCATACGGCTTGCTTTGTATTTTTAAAAATTGTCAGAAGATAGGATGTACCTACCCGTGGCTGCTACAAACTGAGAAGGATCACTTCTCATCCCATTACTTATAGCGTACACTTTATAGCTATAAGGAACACCAGGCGATATGTTATCAATGATACAATTTGGAGCATTTGAGCTCAGTGGCTGTCTTGTTGTTCGGTCCTTTCTCCCATATTCGATTTCATATCTACTGACATTGCCTTCGCTAGCACCCCAAGACAGAGATATTGATTCGTTAGTAGTAGTCTCTTCTTTTTTAACTTCTCCAGGTTTACCCGGCTCTAGAATAAAAAAGTTCACAAAAACATTCTATACATATTTATATACACAGACATGTCTGTGTTTCGGAATATCTACAACTTAATGAAAAACAGTCGGTCTGATATAGCAGTAACCCCTGGTTGAAAGTAATTCCTCCAATTGGGCATTTACATGTCAATGTATACATATAGTAGAACACTCCAAGTACTATTGCATTGCACCTCTCAAAAACACTGTGGGAAACTTTTATATAAACAGTGTCGTTTCATACGATGTATACAGGTAAAATAGTATTGCTCACTTGTTGCCTGTGTCAGCTGTTGTGGCAGACTGGGATAACTGTGAGTTATCGCAAAAATTCGGATTTCATAATTTGTGCCAGGATCAAGCTTTTCTAAATTGCACTTGCTTTGCACACTTTCGGTTTGTTCATATCTTGCATCGCGTGCTTTTTCTTCATTGATGTCTAGATTTTTTTCCGACGCCTGTACATCACTGTCACTTCCCTGTAGAAGTTGTTTTATCTGCGTCTCTGCGTTGCCCTCGTCTTGGTTGTCGGTGACTGATACTTGGACACTTCTGTACATGATAATGTACTTATTGACAGCTCCTTCAGCTGGCATCCATTGCAAGTATAAACCCTTTGTACTTGCTACAATGCTACCTGGCACAATGGTACCTGGTCTTGCAGGAGCTGTAAAGTAGGAAATTCGTATTGGTATAGTAAAATTAAATACTGAACTTACCCTTAAAAGTGTACAGTAATTAATCTTCGAAATAATAATTCAAAACTGACCAAAGAGAGGACTGGAATCTACATTCACCTCAGGTCAACTCATAGTCTCCTGTGGTAGTATACGGTTATATAACCAATAGTATATCCTTGTTCAAAACACAGAAGTACCATTTGTAATAGCCTTTGGTTACTAAAGAACCAGATGCATACAATTCTACAAGAGGTATTATAATAATATGTTAACATATATATAAATATATTTATGCTACTGATACCCGTAAAAGCCACACACGTGGCACATTTACTCCTTTGCCCATTGCTTAAAATAGCTGAAATACTGCAGTTGTATTCAGTTCCAGGTTCTAATCCATAGATTTCGGCAGTACGCCTGCTTTGCTCAACTTTCACTGGATTACGACCGACTCCATGGGCGTCATATATGATTTCAAAGTGAGCAATTATTTCTGTAGGCATATCCCATTTCAGCTTAACTGAGGTTGGATGCCGTCTCTTGTTCATTTGTGACCACGTCTGCTTGAAGTCTGTTGGTGTCGATGGATCTAAAGAGATACAGCGTGCATCGATGACCAGGATATGCTGATACAAGATTATGTGATAAACACAGTGAAATAATGATACAACCAAAACAGTAATCTATTTCCTTCTGAAAACGTAATAGAATTTTAATTTTTCGATAAAAGAGATAGATTGCTATTTATGAGTAATTTAATAGTTTAAATGTATTATTTATGTAAAGTGGATTTCCATAGTATATCTCTACAGTAGATTTTAGCAAAACGAAATACACTTACTGGTCCATATTGTGCGTTTGCTCGTTTCACTCTTTAGCAGTTCCTTTTTATGGTCCGTTACGCAGGTTGCTAATTTCACATAATACTCTGTAGCAGGTAATAAGTTCGTCAGTGTATATTCGCATTTTTTAGTTGTTTGTGGGTCCATGGAGCTAATGCCAGCTTGCTCACAAGACACTTCATAGCTGCACAAAGCTTGAACCGGTTCCCAACTTATGGTGACTGACGTCGTTTCGGTGTCCATTTGATGATACAGTACGGGTTTGGATGGCGCTGCAACACTCAAATGTATATAATAAGCGTAAGAAACATTTAAATAACTAGACATACTAATTATCAATTATCTGTTAATTTCAGTGATTATGGTCAACCAATGTCCCGCATTCATACCGTAGTGTCACCTTTTGGTGTAGTGTAAAACGAAGCTGTAAAGGTTTATCGATGCTTTATTGTGCTGAAATTTTGCAAAGTCAAACCTAATGCGTGAATGTCATATAGACCATGCTAAATACTGCATCGTGCAAAAATCGATATCGTCGTAGTGCATTGGTGATAAAATATAGAAAGTTGAATTGTCTGGACGCAAACGAACATACCTGTTGTAAATTGCAGGCTGCATGGGCCACTTTGGTCATGATCCGTTACTGAGAAAGCGTTTAGGTCATATATAGTCCCAGGGGTGACAGACAGTGGCGGTGACGGACTGCCTTTTGTTGTTAGCTTTTTCAGATCTTTCTTACTGCCGTTTGGGAAATACTCAAAGGACATAAGTTTGAATTCCCCACGTGGCCTTTTCCAACACACCACATATGCACCTTCGCGAAACTGTATAGTGATCAATTCGGCTTTTGGAACCTCTGGAACTGAAGGCACATAATATATATATATATATATATATATATATATATATATATATATATATATATATCACGGAGAATATAATCGATTAACTTTAGTCCCTGACGAGGTCTCCGGGCCGAAACAGCTGTAGGGACTTATATTAATTAAAATAGAAAGAACAGATTAACTTTGTTCGTATTTTTGTCTCTCTCTCTCTCTCTCTCTCTCTCTCTCTCTCTCTCTATATATATATATATATATATATATATATAACAAGTCACAGGCCAGATCCCAATTAAGTCCATTTCCTAAGTGCCCCCGACCAGATCCCAAGAAGCACATGGCCCAGACCACATCCCAATTGGGTAACTGCATTGATAACAGCATAATGAGTATGTTAATTGGTAAGGTAATTTAAAGGTAAGCTGTCAGTTCGTTTCTATGGAATGTGGAATTCAGTAGGGGATGTCATAGATCAAGGCACACATTATGGTACTTACAGGTGTGGCAAATAAAATATATATGTATTCATATGTGAAAAAGTTAAAATTAAATACAGTATAATGAAGATATTTCAAAATAAATTGAATAAGTATCTAGAAAAGATAAGTATCTCGAAGAAATAGCAAGGAAAGCTAACAGTGTTTCATTTGTACAATTGGGGTGTGGTCTTGGCTAGTTAGAAAGTGGACTAGATTGGGATATGCCCTGTGTCATATATATATATATATATATATATATTCGTATTTATCATTTTATGAAAAATACACGTTCAAGATTCACATTTAATTGAGCAATTCCTGAAATGCATTTAAGATTAACCAAAAAGTATAGCAAAATTTGGAGTTTATCTTATTACCTACACCCAATCACTATCAGCCAAATACATTCAACACATACAAATACATTCAAGTTTGTTTAAAATCTAAACACTTAACAGAACAATATCTCTTATGAACCTGTGCTTGTTTGGCATTCTACGTAGATGCTCCTCCTGCCTGTTTGTGATGTAGCGGAGATCAGACATTGGTACATCATTCCGGGAGTCAAATTTCCTACTTTGTGCCCGATGGTTTTCGGTCCTAGTTTATGGGGGGTTTCATTGCCATCTGTGTCCCTGATGATCAGTGTATATCCTTTAATATCACCTCTGCTTGCCTCCCATTCCAATGTTAACGTTGTCGTTTCTCTAAGATGTTTAAGGCAAGAAAAGTGCTGTGGTGGCTCTGGATCTATACAATAAAAAAGAGTGATTAGAGGTACTAATTTATCAACATAGTTGACCCTATTGCTGTGTCTTTAAGATTGTAGTCAAAATATTTTAGTAATTAGAGTACAAACCTGTAAAACAATCAAAGTTCACATGTTCACTCTTTAGTTTCCCTTTGAACAGGGTACGAATCCAACCAGTGTAATGGGTGCTCGGTTGCAGATCGGTTAATACATATGTCTTCCCTGTACTAAGGTCACTACATGTCCCAGTATCAGTGCCATCTTTCTTGCAAAATATCTGATATCTTTCAAACTTTCCTTCAGGAACGTCCCAACACAATGTTATCGTGTTCTTGGTGACAGTAACCCCAGCCTTCGGCAGTGAGGGTGGATCAGGAGCTGTAAAAAGTTAACGACAGGAAGAAAAAGTGACGTTTTCAATTATACATTTGAATATTACATATTTTGCATGCTTAGAGAATCTTCCGACTGCTTAGATGGGACGTTTTAATGTATCAGAGACTGGTATATCTATATCATAAAGTGCTATAAAATACACGGTTATGCTATAAAGAATTAGGTAATTAAAAACATTTTCTCACGACAAGAGACTTAACATGAATCTTAAAGTTAGCTTGGCTCATTTCTATTCGCTGCAATAAAAAGCTCACATATATACAACACCAAATATACTTATTATAGGCTTAAGAGTTTTTCCTGGTGATTCAAATGTTTTTATACTCACCTTTTTGTAGAGGGATGCAACATGGTTTACTTTCTTTTTCAAAACTGTAACATCTTATTTCAATTCTGTAGCCCATACCAGGAACTATCTTATTGATCACCACGTTTGGTTTTAGTGATTCTATGTTTCGTTGGTATGACTCGTTGTCTTCCTGCTTGACCGAGATTTTGTACCCGTCAACTTTACCAACTGGCCGATCCCATTTAAGGGTAAAAGTCTTTACTCCCTCAGTCACGCCTATTTTTCCTTTATCAACCATGTCAGGGACTGGACAAAGAAAAACGATACAACCAGATGGATGGATGGTTATTAAATCATATTTACACGTGTAACATTTCGATTTTCAAGTTAACTTATTTAGATAACATATGATACAATCATTACAACTCCTTAAAAGGGGTGAAGTTAGTTCTAAAATTAATGTATTGTAACTGCAAAATTAGCCTCCCAGTTAAACATTTCAGGGAATATACGTACTTGCAACAAAGGTTTCCGTTCGTTCCTTGCTTTCTATACCGTTCACCAGAGTAGCGATTTCTACATAATTCTTTTTTCCCGGTTCAAGTTCGACCAGAGAAAACACGCATTCATCTGTGTATTTATTAATTTTATCCTCTTTTTTGTATTTCCAGTGAGAAACCCTAAAACTTTCCCAATTCCCGAATGGGGGTACCCAAGAAAGAGTTGCCGATCTTTCCTGTGCTTGTATCTCGATTTTACCAACTTCATCTGGATCTGTAAGGTGACACAAAATACAATAAAATACACTGGTTTTAATTCGCCTGTAAATGTACATTGATAAATTACGACAGAAAATTTACAACAGGATAAATAGTTATTGAAGCAAGTAAAGCTATAAATACAGGGAAACACAAGCATCTTTATATATGAAATACCTGTGTAAACATCCAATGGGTCACTTGTTGTGTATGCATTGTCAGTAACCGTGCGAATTATCACTTCATATTTAGTCCCTGGAAGCAGGTCATCAAATATTGCCTCTGTGTCGTTGTCTCGAGGTATTTTCTTAGTTCGGACAGATTCATGATCTCTGATTAATTGGATCTCATAATACCGAATCTCGCCTTCAGCGGGTTTCCACGTTATTTTCAAAGACCTAGTGCCCTTGTCACTGCACTCTGGAGTGCATTCGGCTGGTCCTGAAATAGAAAGGATACAATTATCATCATGGACCAAAGAGGCTCTGATGTTATCTAAGCCGTATTTTGTAATTATTGTATCTGGGTTACATTGTGCTTATAATGTTCTAACCGCTTCCATATGCGCCATACTATTTCCAATGACTTTGTCATGCCAGTTTGCGATTTTGTATGGAATAGTCGATTTACCATATTTTACTTAATTGACACAGTTGCACCTACTTGTGGAACAACTGAAACAATAAGGCTCGCTTCGTTGGTCATTTCGCACGGTAAATAGACAACCAAGGTATGTTGTTCCCGGAGTCAATCCGGGAATTTCCACCTCTTCTACTTCTATAGGAGGCAATGTTTTGCCTGTTTGTAAATCTTTGGGTCCCTTCAATTGCAACCGGTATCCGTCAACTTTGCCTTTGGGTTTACTCCATTTGCACTTGATAGCATCAATACCAGGTTCAATATCTATATCCGCAATGGGAGCTGGGTCTGGTAAAATATACAATTTTCTTTTTGTAAAATTAATAAATGAATGTGTCAAATTGCACTACATAATTGTATTATGCAACAAACATCTCGGTTATATTCCTGATGGAGAAGGTAATGATACGAGACATCAGTAACAAATGGAAAACAAACAAATAACATCTGCTAAACTACTAAAAATCCCACCTGTTTGCACATAAATGAAACAAGGTTCACTCTCCATCTCATTACTGACTGTAACAACACCGACTTCATATCGGTCACCAGGGCACAAGCCATTAACGGTGTGATGTGTCTTTGGTGTCTTTGTGCTTTCATATACCCCTGCCTCATCTTCTGACCGCCAACGGACGATGAAGAATTCAAATGAACCGCGCGGTATGTTCCATTTTAGATCCACGTGGGTCGATCCTCTGCCTGCCTCTGCAAAATCCAATGCCACATCCGGACCTGGAAGAAAGTAACAGATTCCATACATATGAAATGTACATATAACACTGAAACTAGTCAATCACAGTTTGATTTTCAGCTTTGATCAATTTTACCTCGCAAAATCTAACAAAAAACGTTATATTTGATAACATACCCGTGTCAAACTGCATTTGATAAGAATCGCTTTCCCTCCCGTTTGATACTGATGTGATCTGTGCTTCGTAACGTGTACCAGGATCCAAATCTGTCAGGACTTTGCATGTTTCTCGTATTTCCACATTTTTCAAGCGGTAAGCCTTCCCGCGCGGCCAGTAAGATACTCGGAAATGGTTGACTTGACCATCTGGTCGCCTCCAGGACAGTTGGACACTCTTTAGAGTCAGGTGCATAACGTCGCAGTCTCCTATCCCAGAAGGATCTTTAAAAAAAGCGAACCGGTTTAATGTCAACCTAGCTATTTTCTCTACCAGGGGTGTGCCTTACGGTTAAAAAATCATGGTAAAAAAGCCGGGGGTCTTTTACAATTCAAGAACAGATTTATGTATTGAGAGGACTTCTGATAGAAAGTTACTTTGCTGAAATATATTCTTCCATATGTATGCATTGGATTTATTATACGTGTTGTGTGTATAATAAGAGAAACTTATTATTATTATTATTACTGTATACACTTGGCGAATCGCCTACTTATGCATATGTCAACAAGCCGACTACGGTCATTAAAAGCAACCTCCACGCGCACTGAAAAAAGTTTTTATCCATCAGCAGTACGTATTTTTAATGAACAAAATGTATTTTAATAATTCCACTGTATCACATTTTATCGAACAGATCATACCAATTTTCATTTTATACTTGTATAAATATGACAATAAATTATTATTATTATTAATTATTATTAAAGACACATAAGAAGCACATCACATGTTTAATGAATTGGGACACTTACAACAAAAACAAATACTCAATATATCAATCATTTAAATAATTTTAGCATGATACCTGTGACAGCCGTCCATTGCTCTACCAGCCCATCAAAATGACGTCCATCATCAAGCACCCTCGCTATGATATCACCAGAATACCGAGTTCCAGGGTTAAGATTGCAAAGAGTTATTCCTGTATCCTCTGTTGTGATCATTGTCTCTTGGTACTCATCACCGTTACCACTGTATTTCACTATGTACTGATTAACTTTACCATGTGGTGGACGCCATTGGAGGAATATAGTCTTCGTATCAAACTTTTCCTTTTTTAACACAACTGGTTTGCCCGGTCCTAGGATATAGAGGATGGTTTGCAAATTACAGTTGTTTTCGCGTCAAGCGTGACATCATGTAGAAATACATACAGGCATGTTTCTATTTAATTTTAATAAGTTATCAATATCCATTTTTATAAGATCAACATACACTGCCACACACTTTTATTCTATTGAAAATGTTAGCAATGACAATTAAGATAATTTCACCAACTTACTGATTAGGTAATGTTTTTCTGCAGGTAGACTAAAACGGCCATTTGAACAAGATTCTACTGAAAACTTGTATTTGGTTCCAGGAAAGAGTTCGCAGAATTCAGCTTTTTCAAGATTCGATTTCACCTCCATTATTGTGTCCCCCGTTTCACAGGAGTAACAGCGAGCAGTATACCCATCATACAGACCAACTGACGGGGATCTCCAAGTGACAAAAACATCTGTATCATCACGTAACTCCAACTGAATGTCTTCTGGTGGAGCAGGTGCTGCAGATAATTTAATGCATATTACTTTTATGTCAAATATCCAAGACACCCGTAGTATATGATTATACTGAAGTAAAAGTAGGCATTTACAAAGTTATTGTTATATCTTTTAACATTATATTTTCAGGGAGTCTTTGGAATCTTTTAGTCTATGCCTGGTGATATTTACATATATGTGTGTACTTTTATTTACCTGTTACGAACGTAATGCATGACGGAACACTTTCTTTCCCTTGACTGTAAGATGTCACTGAACATACATATATTGTTCCCGGAGAAAGATCGTTTACTGAAAAGCGAGTTGCTGTCGTGACGTGATCGCCAAGGCAATGGTCACTATCTTTCTGGTTGATCTTCAGTACATATTCCTCGACGTCTCCAACAGGGGGTTCCCATTCGAATGCAGAACGATCCATGCCCGGCTCATCATCTAACCGGAGACGTTTAGGCGGGTTGGGCTCTGTATACGTGTGGCAAAGATATTTAATTTGGAATCTAAACCATTAGGAAAATATCAGGTCTGCTGCAAAATTGCTGCAAATTTGCTGCAATATTGCTGCAAATTGGCAGCAACATTTCCGGCAAACTCCTGCAAAATCGTTGCCGCAAACATTTTATTTGGGTAAGGGCCGGGTAACAAACATTTTTAAATGTAAAATTAAAATGTACAATTAAAATGTATAATTCATAACATTCTAAATTAAGACATCACATATCACACGAAATATATTAGAGAAATAAGCAAATGTGTTTTAGTATTTAAAACGCTCTAATATTGGTTCCATACTTCACCTCTGACTTCTTATATGCTACTTAGATTTACTACCGGTAAACTGATATTGCTACCGGTATATACAGAATTTTCGATACCTGTGCTTAACTATTAATCAAATTACAGTAATAGGCATACAGAAGGACATAGAAGCCTTAGGTTAATGGAGACTTATCTCCGAAACAGAGACGAACAAACCAGCATTTGGAATTCACAAAAGCTTACTGGTAGAGAATTGAAAATCCTCCCTACGACCTTGAACATCCCAACTGAAGGCGGTGATGCATACTTCATAATAGCGCCCTGGTACAAGACCTTGCAATTCAACAGAGTGGTCATCCTGGGACGTGCCAATTCTTATTTCACGGCGGTAGCGTTCTTGGTCCATACAAATTACAGAATATGAATCAACACGTCCTTGTAAGCGTCCCCATGTAACTCTCACTTTGGTTGTATCGTCAACGATCTCGGAAATGTTCACGTCAACTGCACTGTCTGGCACTATTCGATAAGATTTTTTGATTACTGAATTAGAGCATTTAAATCAAAAGCGCATTCGCAGCTGAAGCTAGAGCAATTAAGAAAAAAACCTATAAACATTGCTTGTAACATAGATTAGCCTGTAATTTGTATAAATGAATATTTCAAAACAACCAGTATTAAATGCAAGATATTTCTTAAAATAAAACATTATACTTTTATTGATCTAGCTGACGAATGGAAATTATTCACCTGTAACTTTGGACATGGTTTCTTTCTCACTATGAATCCCATTACTTTTTGCTTGCACGGATAAAGTGTATTTGGTGCCCGGCTGTAGGTAATTAATGGTATACGTGCACGTGTCGCATGGAACCTCTTTGAGACCGGTGTCACCGCTGCTATCACTCCAAGAGACCAGGTACGACTGCACTTGTCCCGACGGTTTCGCCCAAGTGACATCTATACTGGTACAGGTGGAAGCAGCCGCCATTTCTGTCGGTTTTGCGGGGTCTAAAGAAAATAATTAAAAACACGCTGTACATAGGCAGTGGGAAAATGATTGGGAAATTAAGGGGGAAACAATCAGTGGATTGCAGAATGCGTGTATGTGTGTTCTTTTTCGGTACATTAACCTTAATTTGTTGCAAGATAGACTTACGTGTGTATAGTGTGATGTCTGCCTGAACCTTCTTCCCCTGTATATAATTTGATTCGGCACTTTCCTGTACCCCTTCGGCTGGTGGGTATTCACAAAACTAATAAATAGGAAAATTTCAATTTTATACTCTAGGTATAATCGATAAACTACTGTAAATCAGCCAATTTTACAATGTATCATTAGTTTTTATGAATCTTTTAAAACCTGAAATGTTTTTATATATCCTTTATAAGAAGCATACAGAAAAAGAAGCAATATACATGTATATAAGCTGCGTATATGACGTTTGGGACTATCAGCCACAATTACCAGCAATCTACCAGTAGAGCCACTGGTCCTTAAAAGTCGTTTGCCATTGAATTAAATACGGTATATAAAAATAATAATGATTAGTATAATGTTATCATTATTTGCATGTTTTTTGCTAGGTAATATCGTTGACATTTAAAATTCTTACCTCGTTATCAGTGCAACACTCCGCTGCAACAATTACAGTGTACTCGGTGCCTGGTGTGAGCCCGTATAAGATACAGCTTTCTTTGTGAGAGGGTACTTGTCGGAATACTTCATCCTGGCTTCCTCTGTAGAACACAGTGTACCTATCAACGCTGCCCTTTGGCTTTACCCATCGTATTGGGACACTTGTCGGTGTGTCCAATTTCGGCAGTCTTTCTTTTTGCAGTTCTACTTTCTTCACCTCACCAGGGTCTGGAGAATAGATGTAAGATATACTTTTGATACAGCGCGTGATACATGTACATGTCCTAGTACACGTCAGCAAAAAAATAAATAATAATAATAATAAATAATAAAATAAAAAATAAAAAATGCATATGCTAGAGCTAAATGCAAGATACATGTAACTCAAACATGGTACTGATACAAGGACTAAAAATAATGTATTGCACTGACACGTTTGATTAAAAATATGATCGCAAACCTTACCAATTCATCGAAATTGAAAATTGTGTACCTCCCCCCCCCAAAAAAAAAAAAAAAAATAATAATAATAATAAAAATAAAAATACACAATTGCATTCATCCACTCACTTGTAAGAACAGTTATTTCAACGAAATCACTTTCGTTGTGAGAAGCATCCATGTTAATTGGTCTTTCTTCAGTTTCCATTTTACTATAGTCACATCTGCACTTCAGCATGAATCTGAAAGCCAGAGATTTGGGGAGTGGTTACCACACCCTACAACTGCTAATAGCGGTCAATAATACAAACAATTCATTTTAATCAATGTTTTAGCATAGAAGGACGACACACCGCCTCCTCATGCATAAATAACATGAGTAACATAAAGCAAATCACATATATAACTATATAATCTGATTACAGGAGAGGCGCTAGAAAAGAATGGTTAACCCATTTAATGAACATCTACCTGTAACTGCAGTCACGTTAACCTACATGGATCTGTTTTTATCGATAATTATACATGTTCTAACGTGTATAATATGTGAAAATTTTATACCACGAAGCATTCCATTACATATATGTGTATGCGCCCTTCCATTGCTAAGGAGGAGATTCTACATTAAAACCTAACCCACCTGTAGAGTGTCCCTGGTAGAAGGTCTCTCACTTGGATATCAGTCTCTTTGCCTGTTATAACATCAGGAATTGCACGCGATTTCGTGGTGGTTTTCGAATGAGTCCCACTCGTGCTAGCGTGGGTGGAGTACACGCTGTATTGCAAAACGAATGAGGTCACATTACCCTTGTCCACCATACCGGTCAATGTTAACCTCCTGTCACTTCTTGCAAATCTACCAGATGACTGTTTCAGAACAAATGAACGGGGCTCGGGTGGCTCTGAAGACGACATTAAAAAATATACAAATCGATTATACCTAGCATGAATTGTATATCTAAATGAATATTAATAAGCTACCTGATCGTTTTAGAAATCAGGTTAAATTCGGGATGAAAATCAGCACCCCAAAGGAAAGGGTGTTCCCCGCAACGTGCATGCATTCGCATTTGGAACGTATGGATAACAAACAAACCTCAAATGTGCAATTCATGCACGTAACACTATTTATTGAGGTGTAGTCGAATGAAATCTGGAACGATACAACCACTTCTTGATATGAATAATCATACATATAATTACACGAATGTCTTATACTTACTAGTAGCTATGACTATTTTTGACGGCTGGCTTGTTCTGATAACCCCTTCTTCTTTTTCCAACACAGAAAAGACGCGAACTTTATATACAGAACCGCGCTCTAAACGCCGCAAACACGCTGTTTTCTCTCTCTCTTTACCGACTTCTGCTTTCACAACGTGAACTGTGTTATCAAACACAAAGTTCCCGTCGGTTCTTTTCTCTACCGTTATTCTAAACCCCGAGTATTCCCCTTTGAGCGGCCCATTCCACTCCAGATTGACAGTGACCGTATCATCATCCTCAATGGTTTCATGGTGGATTCGTATTTCATCTGGATCAAACACCACACCTAAAATTCGAAAAATGTTTTGTATGTTAACAGAAAATGAGGAGCGATAAACCCCTTGATGTATAGGCTGTACATAAACGTCTGTCTGTCTGTATGTATGTATGTTTGTTTGTGGTGTCATTTTGTTTCATACCAGCAGTGCGGCACTTCACGTAATTCTATAATCTTCCATAATTCCCTAGACTGTTGTATTTACTTCTTTAAAGTATTAGAAGAATCCACCAGAGACACAGTATTCAGAAAAGTCCCTAGCTTGTTGACCAACCTTCCAGCATTTCCTTCAACGGACGGGACATCATCCGCGTCATGTGTTCCGCTTCCTCGGACTTGTTTCTCTCCAGAAGGCGCACCATAAAAGCAGCGTCTCCTTGAAATGTGTCGACTTCCTGAACAATGACAGAAATAGGATTGTCAATATAGCATTACCGTTTACCTTAAGATTTTTACCAAATAGAGTAATAAGTATAAATTTCTTATTTCGCTAAAACATTTGTCGCACAAATTTTGTTATCTTACATGTAAAACCAAAGACTGAATAAAATGACCATTCTTGTTAACGCTTACATTGCAAAAAGGAAGAAAAAAACGTTAGATAATTTTATAAAAATGAACGGTGCCCACCTTTGGTACATCTCTTTGTTTGACAAGGAGAGAATCGCTTTCTACACAAACCTACAAGGAGATATAGAGTCAAAACTTTATTTTGATATTGATTCAGACCATACCGTATCTTGGAGTGTATAGCAATAAAGCAACAAATGTTACATATTTTACACTTAACGTTGTCCTCTAAACCTCTATGTAGTTTACCTTTTTAAGGGATAGAGTGGCATTAGTGATGTTTGGGGGCCCCTTGTCCTGCTGCCCCCGAACACACCACATTCGTAAGACCATTCCCCTCCAAACCAACCCCTTATCTAAATATAATTACCTTTCTTAGGGGATTATTGATTAGTTTTGTTATATCATATTTGAGTCGAAGCATTACCGTCCCGTCAAAAATTTTAAAATGTGACTGTATAACTCTGTCGTTGTGGTAGTTGGTATGGTGTGTCGTGAGAATTTCAAGCCAGTAATCAAGTCATTACAACTATTTAGGGCCCCCATCAATTATGTAACATCAATTAATCAAAATATTGCATTTTATGTGTAAATTCTACACAAAAATACTCAGTTAAATATGAGACTTAATCAATGACAGAAATCACTGTCTATTAGTACCTCTAGCTCGTTCTTGGATGAATGCACTTCTGCAATCCCATCACCTTCACTTCCCGATGAACTAGTCTTAAATAATAATAATAATAATAATAATAATAATAATAATAATTATTATTATTATTATTATTATTATTATACAGCTTATATTAGAAAAGGACTGAGACAGATCAATAGCCTTTATACTGTTATGAAATTGTAACAAGCACTTTACTTTAAGTGCTTCAATCATCCTTTCTAAACCAATTTTACATCAACATCACTTTGCGTAACTGCTTATCAAATTTTAGCAGTCTAAGGAAATATCCAAACACCAAATGACTTTTTGTGCAACAAATCCTAACGGGATTATCTTTTGAGGGGGGCTAAAATTGTTGAACCAATCCTGTCTGAGGCTTTGGTTTTATTGAAGTAGGTCAAAACTCACCTCCGCTTCACCGTCTGGCGGTCGTCGTGGTACCGGTTCATCATTACCTCCCTGTCATTGTATAGAAAGTATTTACATAAACTAGATGTTCACACTGTCACTGTTCATTAAATATATAATATTAAATATATATTAATCGCAATATGTGTCCCAAACATGACATTATATTGCAACCAAAGGACCATTGTTATGTACATTCCCCTTGTACCTCTCCTTACAACATCCTGAAACAGATTAGTTGGTCCGAACTAATATTATGCACCAGTATACTATTTATTTCTATTCTATTCCCAATTTGCCTCTTCGGGAAGATGTGGAAAAGATAATAATCTTCTTACTTTCCTTAAAAGTCTCACATTTGCCTGAATAATGCATGAGCTATTCACTATAAATGTTTCTTACCTCATATGCGGCATTATGCCCCCCTTCCATCTCTATAACAACCTATAAAAGCATGATAAATAGGTAATTTAAAAATGTTATATGATAATCATTCAATGAAAAATCGTGAATATATTAGTTAAAAACAATTTAGTAATTTTCTGCATAGTGGGGTATCCCCATGTATGTTTATCGTATGCCACAGAGTCATTTAACAGAAACCTGATCCCAGTTTCGAATAAATAAATAAACAAGACAAGTTTTATGGCCTAGTTGACTATGATTTCCATGAAAATGCTGTAACATTTCCTGATTCCTGATAGGGTAAGATGTGCGCAAGTGGCCATGTAACGTTGCCAATTAAGTTTTTGGCCCGGGAACCTGACAAATGTTTTTTATTTATTTATTTATTTTTTATTTCTTGTTCATTTTTTGTTTCATTTTTTTTTTTTTTTTTGCTAGAAGTTTTGTTTTGTTTTGGCACCAGTATAATTTTGGTCGATGTACGATGGAAAACCGCTTTGAGTTTAGAAAAAAAGGAAAGTTTATAGTTATCATGGATTTAAGGAAATGGTATAGCAACTATTGTTTCTGCCCATAACGACGCAAATGACCAAAGAGAAAGAATGGAACGGGTTTTAAAAAAATTTTACCATCAAACTTTCAAGTACTTCCAATATAATCTTCATAAAGTATCCTAAAGGGAAAGATGTTGAAATGGTCATCAAATGTCAAATAAACAGCTTTTTCATAGGGGAGTCCTTGTGTGGTAAAATACAAATCTTTAGTTTTTTTCATGAAAATTTTCACCTTCAAACTAACAAAAAGTGCCAATGTGCCCTCCGTTATGCATACTACAAGATCATAGTCATTTACTCAAATAAAATGAGATCACAGTCATATACTCAAAATAAAATGGGTCCTTTTCTTCATGGGAGTCCAAATCTCATGGGTATAAAAATGAAGAATTTCATGATTTCTTTTTCATTCTTTCACTCATTATTTTATCATCAAACTTATTTTTCATAAAGTATCTTAAAAGGAAAGGTGTTGAAATGATGATCAAATATTAAATAGATAGCTTTTTCATTGGGGAGTCATTGGGTGATAATATGCACATTTTTAATTTTCTTATTTTTCATGTTTTTTTTTTTGCTTTTTCACCCAATATTTTACCATCAAACTTTTAAATATTTCCAATATAATCTTCATATGGTAAAAGTTAAGGAAAGGTGTTGAAATGATCATCAAATATTAAATAGATAAGCACTTTTACCTGTTCCTGGGGCTTGTTGGTCGACTTCTGTCTGCCAGTAATTTTGTCTGCGTTTTCGTCTAGACCGTATGGCTTTCTGCCTTCTTTGAGGTACCACACAATACCAAATACTAATATAGCTATGTACAAAGCTGCAGCTATGGCGTAAATGACATTCAGAATAATGAACCATGTCCCAAGGGTTCGTGTACAAACGTAGTCAGCTCTTACATTTGCCAATGTGCAGTGAAACAACCCCTGGTGCATTGATGGCCAACCCGCAAAAAACACACTGAACACTAGCGCCAAAACAGCAAACACCAGTTGGACTACACTCTTAGCCAGGTAAAACCTGCCAAGAAAACGTTTCTTTTCTAGACACTGTCTATATTGCCATAGTTCTTCATGTTGTTTCTTTAAGTCATCGTAGGCATCAGGAACAGGAGTGGAACCAGGATCTGATATCATACGCTGTATTTCTTCTTGAGTTCCACTTGACTTTATTGACCCGTCTGTCCTTGATTTGAAAGTTTTCATTTTAGATTTTGTGATCGGTAAACGGAACCAGAGATTACCGATTAGAGTTAGGATAAACGCCAGAGCAATCAGAATTCCTGAAAAACTTTTTGTAGGAAATCCAAGTTGGGAACTGCATTGTGCGTTCACAAAATCAGCATTGGGTAGTGTCGTGGACTGCAATGATGAAGCGTTTGTATCGAAGGCTTTCAAGTCGATGTCGCCATTCACTGAGCACCTGACTGCTACATTTACGTGGAGTACCATCGCTATGAAGCCCACTAATAGCAAAAATGGTCCAATCCACTGTATAACCCTGTCCCACCAACACCGTATGTCGTCTGTGGCGGGGCGGTGCTGAACCTTTTTTTGGAAGTAAGCGTCAATTTGTGATGTCATTGTCGCTGACTGAAAATCATAAAAAAGGCAAAAGTCAATTAAATTAAGTTCACCAATTTTAACTAATTTAAAAGAGTAAAAAGAAATCAAGGATTAAGTTTCCCGTATGTTATGTGCTTACAATCACATCAAACACAATGCGTATGATATCCCCCTTGCATGGAACAGCCTTCCATTCCTTCGTACAATGCAACCTTTAGTAGGCTTGTTAAGGGGTCAAACGCTGCATTTTATAGTACAAATGTCTAACTTGGCATAAATGTTCCTTGGGCCAAAAGAAATTTTTTTATCCAAAGAGACGCCCTCTATTGATGCATAAATTAGCATAAATTATGCAAATTAGGTGCCAAAATATATAATATTTCATATTCCCATTAATTTTTGGCCTAGAAACATGTATAGATTATCAAACCTGACTAAATTGGGGATAAGGAACCCATTTTTGATCATTTGGAAGCAATTGGTGGCCATTTTGTGCCTCAAATCCAAGATGGCCGCCACCCGCCATTTTGAAAATGGACATAATTTTGCTATTTTATGTTGAATTTTGAAGCGTTTGGTCTATATATACTAAATTTATATATCAATTCCTACTATTTTGGGGGTGAAAAAGTAATTTTTGATATCGTTATGGGGATAGTAGGTGATTTGAAGGGTCAAAGAGGGTGTTTTAAGTGCCTACCAAGATATGTGTGAACGCTGCAAAACCATGGATATTGATAACCCGCATCCAAATATATCTCAATGCAATTTTTTGTTATATACCATCGCTATTGGACTATATTATGAGCAAAAAAAAACTCATTTTTACCATTATGGAGGCCATTGGTGGCCGTTTTATCCCTCAAATCCAAGATGGCCGCCAAAAACCATTTTGAAATTGGGCTTAATTCGCTGTTTTGAAACTAAATGTATTACATCTTTGTAAATGAGTAATACGTCGTTTAATATTATTTTCTGGTGCAGAAAACATTATCTTTTTCATAAAATTTGTTTTTCAAATCCAAGATGGCCCTTATCCGCCATTTTCAAATTGAGCATTATTCACCATTTTGAAACTATCACACCTTCATAAGCATGCCATACGTCATTTTTGATTATTCACTGGTGCAGAATGCATTTTCGGTTTCATAAAATGTAAATATAAACTTTTATAAGCCTCCAAAAAATATTCATTGGCAACATGGGACTGCAGTTTATATGTACAATTAGTAATCCAATTAGTACAAAACTGCTTTTGCCCGATCTATAAAACAAGTGTCAGCAAAGAAAATGGCTGAATTAAAGCAAAAGAATACATCTTTGACCGCATGAGGAAAATTGTAAGCCATTATTTTGATCAAAACCAAGTGTTGGTTGTATGCCGCTATTTTAATAATTTGGTGTAATTTATTATCTTTGAACTGTGGACCCTCAATCCCTTGTATTAGGTAAATGGTACTATTCTGGGGGCTCAAATGTAATTTTCCAGTGCTAATTTGGTGACAGAAGATAATAAAAAGGTAATATAAGGTTGAAAAATAAATTCCAAGATGAGTTTCGTTGAGTCTGTTACAAAAATGTGGAACCCAAACCACATGCTCAAATATATCATCTAGATTCATCTTAAGTGACCATCCACTAAAAGATACTGAATAATTTAAAGGTAAGCAATAAATATATATACATAGTGGTATTATATTATCAATCTTTTACTGGTCAATGTGAACCAAAAACGCCACATGTACATTTATGCCCCAGTCACTGGGGCTTGCATTTGCATGTTAAATATAGTCCAAATGATTTGAAGGGTGGAAAATGTGTCGTCTTATAATACTATAGAATTTGGTTAGTTGTGTTGATGCGTAAATGCCCGTGAAAGACAAGCAAATGGACTTTGCTTTGAAATAGCTCCAGATCTGGAAAATCATTCAGCAGCACAGAAAAAAGAAACATGTATGATCAGCTCTGGTAGGCCAATAAGACAACAGCCAGTAAGAATTGAGGTTTTGTCATTGTCCTATGAGAAACAACCAAACAATATATTAAAATCCAGTTTCCAGAGAAACATCGATGCATGAGAACATGTCG